AATTATACTCCTGAGCAAGATCACACTTAAAAAGGGATCACACAATTTTTTTGCCTTTACTGTTTCTAGCCAAAAGCACTGTTTTTGCATTTCCACAGCATCTGCTATTTGAATGTATCAGTCAGCTAAACCTCACAGTACCTGGGTAAATCTTAATCCATTAATTAATGCAAAGTCAAGGCACAAAGAAGTGATTTATATAATAATGAATATTAATGAGTACGTACTTCAAGATGATTACATTCCATGTAATTATAAACTCTTTTTTAATACATAAACTGATAAAAAATAAAGTAAGTTGTGCTTCCCTTACTATTTTTTTTCTGAGAAATGAACCTGAATATTCAATTATGGGGTTATTATTCTGTGAATCAGTTTACAATGATCAGTGGATATAATTTTTAATATGAAAATGTTATTATGCATATTACAGTTCCAAGCATATATTATCCTTTCCTGAAACCATTTCAACCTTCCAGTCTTTATGCAAAAGACTGGCCCATGGGCTCTGTACAGGATGTAAATTAAGTTCTTGTTTGGCTAAATCTGATTACCCTGTAGGGTACCAATCTTGCTTAGTGACAGCAGAAGCTAAAAATTGCCAACAGGACAGTCTGCTTAAAATGGGGCCAGGAAGGGTCAGCTTCTAAATAACAAATCTGAGTTTCAAACTAGATTTTAATATTATCCCTAGGAATGTTCAGTTAAACATAGAAGCTGTCTTCTTAGTAGTTGCTACCACTACTTTTAAAACCCACAGTGAAATTGAGAAATGCCTTTAATTTTTTTAAGGTGTACAGTTTGTTATCAATCATATATAAAGGTGCTACAGTCAAGTGAACCCAACCTTTAGTCAGTTTGCCTCTCAATCCCCATTTGACGCTTCCTCTTCCTCCTCTCATATTCTATTGAAATTAATGCTCCAGTAGAGAAGTTCAGTGAAATAGCAAACCCACACAGAGATTATCAGAACACAATCACCCCAAGTTGATTCAAGCTACCTAAAACTACTTGACTATTACCAAAATACTGTTGCTTTATTATGCACTTACTGAGTGCATGAGACAGATTAAAAGGCACATGCTGACACTACTAAATATTAAATACTGCTGTTCCTTCTGACAGGATTAGCTAAATACCTAAATGATAAGAACATTCCCCTGTATTTTTCCTATACTTAGAAAATGTGCACAGAAAAGTCACTCTTTGATCTATTTCACTAGCTTCAGTTACTGTAGCTGGCCTTCATATATATAAAAAATTTATTTTTAGTAGTCTGTGGTAGCTCCTTAGTTTTCCTTTGATGTATAGAGGTTTTATGATCAATAATATCTGAAAGCAGCTGGCATTATTACAATTGCTCTGAGTCAAGAAAAAAACAAACCAAAAGCAATGCAACACTGGCAAAAAGGATACGGCTTTTGTCTGTTCAGAAAATGTAATTATCTCAGTAAATGCATGTGGGTTTTCGTAATGAGACTCAATATTTCAGATGGATTATTTTTAATATCTTTTCACAGTGGCTTTATTAGATACTCTAAATAAGAGCTCAACTCTTACCTAACAGATAAATACCTCATTCCTTCAATAGGTTTTAGATGAAGGGACTCAGCATGCTACACAGAATCCTAATGAGTTTGAAGGGGGAAATGGATAAAACCAGGCCTGCTAGAGATAAACCTGGGGGCAACATGCCTGTGTTTGAGGGACGGTGTGCTGGGGAGGTCCTTTGGTCTGTTGTCTCAGGAGAGACAGGGGATGGAGATCCATGTGTCAGCAAAGCCACAAGGGATATTGATGTGTTAGAAACCATGGAAGTGCTTGAGAATGGGCTGTCCCCATCTGCTGAAAGACAAGATAAGATGACTGGCCTTGTTGAACTGAGAGATGTGGCAGCCTGACATTGGTGCTGGGGAAAGCGATGGAGCAGATCATCTTGGGTGCCATCACGTGGCATAGGCAGGACAACCAGGGGATCAGATCCAGCCAGCACTGGTTTATGAAAGGCAGGTCCTGCTTGACTGACCTGATTGCCTTCTGCGACCCACAGAGAATGAGGAATAGGCGGTGGATGTTGTCTACCTTAACTACAGTAAAGCCTTTGACACTGTTTCCCACAGCATTCTCCTGGAGAAACTGGCTGCTCATGGCTCAGATGGGAGAACCTTTCGCTAGGTAATAAACTGGCTGTTTGGCCAGGCCCACACAGTGGTGGCGAATGGTGCCACATCCAGTTGTCAGCTGTTCACTAATGGTGTTCCCCAGAGCTCAGTCTTGGGACCAGTCCTGTTTCATAACTTAATCAATGATCTGGATGAGGGGATCGAGGGCACACTCAGTCAGCTTGCTGATGACACCGAGCTGACCAGGAGTGTTGATCTGCTGGACTGTAGGAAGGCTCTGCAGAGGGATCTGCAGAGGCTGGATTGATGGGCCAAAGCCACTTGTCTGAGGTCTGAGGTTCAACAAGGTGAAGTGCCAAGTCCTGCCCTTGGATCACAACAACTACAGAGTCCTACAGGCTGGGGGCAGAGTGGCTGAAAAGCTGCCCAGCAAAGGACCCAGGGGTGCTGGTCAACAGCAGCGGAACATGAGCCAAGGGTGTGCCCAGGTGGCCAAGAAGACCAATGACACCTAGCTTGGATCAGAAATAGTGTGGCCAGTAGGATCAGGGCAGTGACTGTCCCTCTACTCAGAACTGGTGAGACACCTTGAGTGCTGCATCCAGTTTTGGGCCCCTCATGACAAGGATATTGAGGTGCTGGAGAAAGTCCAGAGAAGGGCAGTGGAGCTGGTGAAGAATGTGGAGCACAAGTCCTGTGAGAAGCAGCCGAGGGAACTGGAGTTGTTTAGTCTGGAGAAAAGGAGGCTCAGGGGGGACCCTACTGCTCCCTACAGCTACCTGAAAGGAGGCTGTAGAGAGGTGAGAGTTGGTCTCTTCTGCCAAATAACAAGTGATAGGATGAGAGGAAACAGCTTCAAATTGTGCCAGGGGAGGTTTAGGTCAGGTAATAGGAAAAACTTCTTCACCAAAAGGGTTGTCAGGCAGTGGAACAGGCTGCTCAGGGCACTGGTTGCGTCACTGTCCCTGGAGGTATTTGAAAGACAAAGCAGCTCAGATCAGAATCCTGGCATGATCCATTGTGTGCTCATATTGTTTTGAGGTGATCAACACTAAAATTACATGTTCAGAAAACAGTTTTAACTGTGAATTTACTGAAGCACAATCCAAACCTTCCATCTGAATTCCCACAGCTCCCCCATGCCAAACAACACATATCTGCATGATGAGGCATATTAATTCAACTGACATCGAACAGTTTTTTCCTTGGATTAATTCTAGCAGTGAATCAATTTCCTGATCTGGTTCAGCAGGCAGACACAAAAATGTCTATGTTAATGGAAGTGAGCAGCTCAGGAGATGAAAATGCTTTTGATTGATCTCTACCCACTTAAAGCATGTGAAACTACCTCAGGGATCTTATACACAGGCTGCCAGAACATATGGCCATTAACCACCAGTCTGGTCTCTCCCTTTCTGGGATATTTTGTTACAGTATCCATTGTTTTACATCAGAAATATTTACTAAAGTGTGCATTCACATTATGGTCAAAGCTCATATGCTGTAAGATATCATTTACTGTAAAGCCCTGAAGAATCACATTACATACCCCCATTAGTCTATTTAAAAAAATTATTTCCCTAAAGGTGGCATTTTGTAAATTTTTAATTACAGCACTGATGCAGTGTAACATACACAAATATCTTTGTTAGAAGTATTGGCTATTATCTCAGCAAACACCATTAATTACTGTTTGAATTTACTAATAACACAACACTTACAATTCAGTGACCACTTTAGCACCAATAATATCATCATTGTATGCAACAGTGAGATTCACTACTATATCATTAATATTTATTTCATCTTGCAAAGGAATTATTACAGTTGATACAATGGACAAAGCTCTTTTTGCTCCAGCTGAAAAAGTCTGTGAATAAATCATGTCATGTTTAGATATGAAAAACAGGTCAGTGGCTACTGAGATGATGTTTCCAAAAGCAGAACCTTCCCTACAGCAAAGCTTTAGGAAAATACACTTCATCTGACAGCATACCTTCTTTTTATCAGAATCCTCTTAGTAGGCAGTGGATAAAAAAATCATTTAGCTGTATAAAAGGCCAGAGAGAACATTCTGAGGAATGAAACTTCTTTTAAATTACAAATACATGGCATAACACTTTAAGACTTCACTTGAACCAACATACTTCCAATTGATGTTACATACCCGGAGGCCAGAAAAATCACCCTCAGGTGAGTAGTTTTGAGTGCCTCAGAGAAACTGGTGAGAACAGTATCTTTTCTTGAAAGAAATGAAGCAGGAGAAAGTAGTGCTTATTTGTAGTAATGTTGTTCTCCTTACAGCAGTTACCAGTTTCCTTTGCTACCAAGATTAAGTGGCTTGCAATGCATCTGCTTTATTGCTTGGCAACTAAAACCTTTACCAATTATAGGTTAGAGGAACTCTTCTCCAAGGAAGACACATTTCTTTTAATAAAAAATATATTTATGAAGATCCTACTGCATTAGTAATTTATAGGAAATCCTATCTTAAATCTTTATTAAAATCACACTGAAGAGAGGATTATTCAAAATTGATTGCATATATACTCACAAATCATACCTGTTCCTTCATCACTTGTGTATTACTTAGAGATTGCAACTGCCCCAGACTGGCAACTGCTGCAAAATGAGGCATTTTTGTCTTTATATACTAATATGATTGGTGGAGACATCTTCTGTGACCAGAGTTCAGAGAGACTGAGTCACATGTTATTTAGCAGCCATGGTTCTGTGGTAAAAATATGACAGTCATTATTACACATTCCATTTGACGTGAATGAGGAAGAGCTTTTAACAGTTTTCTCTGTTTTATTTTGGTAGAGAAATATTTTATATATTCTTGGAATAAAGGGTAAAGAAAATCTACAAAGTGATTAAATTAAGACCAATACTGACTTTTATTTACATAGTTTAACAAACAGACTCAAGCAATTATTACATCAGTCATTCAGATTCTGAACATCACTATAAACAACAAGTTTATGCCAGGCCTAGCTCGTGTTGCATTCTTCACGGAGCTGTGATTAATGTTCTACATTTTTCTTTTTCCAACGAAGCCACCTCAGAGCTCTTGCCAGTGCTACTTGTCCCATGAGGAACGTGATCGTAAAATTACGTTTATACCAATCTCTAGGATTCCAAAGCCAAGAAAATAATCAGCACACAGAACAAGAACAGGAAAAAGGTACACAATTATATTAAAATACCCTTTGGCATTGACAAATGACAATTCAGTTATAACCTGCATTTTCTGTTCTTTGTGGTAACACTTTTCCTGCCTAATAAGAGTTAAATAACCTATGAAAAAGTCTATGTGTATATCCACATCCATGAGCAGACTACAGGGTTCTACCTGTATTTGAAATCAGGTGAGATAAAGTAGTTAAAACCATATCTCATGTTACAAAAGTAAAGCTGATCACCAAGCTACCCAGAATAACTCCTGACAGTGCTGTGCAATGGGTAAGATTTGTTTGCAAGTGGATGAAGATACATGTGTTGAAAAGGGCATAGTTGGCCAGCTGTGAGGGCGGGGAAAAATAAAATCAAATCACACTTCAAAGATTATTGTATAACTCAATACAAGAAACATTATCTTTCTACTGCAGTATCCTTTAAAGATAATGCCTTTAATATTGCCAGAGTTAGTATTTACATTTAATTTTTATAAAGCATGCATGGCTTCTGGAACCTGTTCATGTTATACACAGAACAGTCTGTATCAGCCCTTTTTAACCTCTGAGAACTTGCTTCAAATTCTTGCCCCTATTACAAACTAAAGTAATATCAAAATTTCTTTCTAGTTTCTAACAAGAATCCTGCCCCCATTTTGTAAAGTGCTGCACAAGCACCAATAGAATACAATCACAGAACTAGCAAGGAATATTAAACACCAGGATTTAGGTCTTCTCTTGAGACCTTTGTGGGAAACCTTGCATGTACAGATCTAACATAAGCCTGAGACACTAACCTCTCAGTAAGGACAGTAGCCAAATTCACACTGACAAGCAACACTGAGCTACCCCTTCAGATGTCATGTTAAATCAAAATATCATGCTAACATTGCAACTGTTTCTTTTCCCCTTTCATGTTAAATTTCCTATATCCTTCTAGAATTTTTTTCCTAAACTAGACTGTATTTCCAGTCTAGGTACCCTGAACTAAATATTCAAGGCATCTATGCACAGTCATTGCTTCAATTTTGTCTAAATTTTAGAAGTTGCAACACTTCAGCTGCCACAGTTTTCAGGCCAGCTGGCAATACTGCAAAAGAACATACAGCTAAATGCAGAAACAGATTTTTATAACATGACCCCTCAAAATCAGAGTGCCAGTAAAAAGCTCTGCTGCTTTCAGGGCTGTGCAGTTCCACTTTGAAACTACAACGATGCAGCTGACACTACCTGATTTTGCAAGGCAGAAACCAGGAAGGTCATGTTGAAGCACAAAGCCTGAATTCTCTCACCCTGAGGATGGGGCACTGTCCCAAGGTCACTACAACAACGGCAAATGGTGACCAGTTCCAAGATACACTACTTGCATTCCCATTTATCAGTTATAGGCAATTTGAACAACAATCCTTCCACCAGAAGCAATTTCTTACTTTCCATCTGTCGCTTCAGTCTATAGTGAGGTTCCCTCCCGTCCCCTATGGGCAAGACAAGATGCGTGTATTTGTTTTAAATATTTTTCACAGTTAAATTGTGCTCACAGGGTAGTATTTTCTGGTTTATGCATGACACATAAGAAGAACCTCAAACCACAATTTGTTAGAGGTCAGTTACAGTGACGGTAGAACTCTCACTAGCATCGCACCATTAGGAACCCAGTGACACTCGATACTTTTGAGCCCAATAACCTTTCAATCCAATGCAGAGAGGAAACTGAAGTTGTGGTGTCATATTCAGTGGGCAGTACTACCATGACTGGATTAAGTGCTGTCCTCCTCCAGCTTCCCACTCTTTCCTCATTTCTAGCCCTTTGTCATGTGTGCACAGCTACTTGCAGGGTTATGTGTGTTTGGCAGTCATTTTTCAGTCCTTTCAGATCCCCAACCCAGTTTATCAAGTTGTTGTACAAACAGTAACATTGAAACAAAGCAGTGGATCTTGTGAAGAGGTGGATGTGTGGGTTTATCAAGTTGTAGCTGAGGTTCTACACAGGATAAGTTCAGGCAATCAATTTAGTAATGCCTTGCCACACAAAAAACCTCTCAAACTCAAGGCTAATCACCTTAATTTTTACTAAATGCTTACAAAATGACAGAATCAAGAATATTAAATATTAATTCAATGAAACAATTTTCCTTTGAGATAAATCACATTTATTAGTCCTCATTTAACAGTCAACTAGAATCTGTTATACAGAAATTTCAACCAGTTTATTTGCATATTTATCAGTTTCAATTAGCAGCATGGAAAGACCCAGGCCCTGAGATAAAAAATGGAGTGCCTGATCTTGTGTCTTTAAATCTCAGACACAGGCTTCATCTTTCCACTAAATAAACAATAAGCAGCACCAGAACTCAAATGATAACGCAAATTTCTGTCAAATGCTCATAATAGCATTAAAAAATGTCTAAAATTATAGTTTTAGGTGCTGTTTCCAATTATGGGAAAAAAATGCTCAAACTTTAAACTTGACCTCATCTTTCTCTTAGTCTGTAAATACCTTCTACGTACCTGTTATACTGCATATGTTTTTTAAAATTTTTACTTAGAAAGTCCTTGTAAAAGTCAGCCATTTCTTCTGCATTCAGTGTTGCTTTTTGACCTGAAAATAAGTGTTGGTATAACAAAGTCAAGGCAATTCTTTGCATTAAAACCCTGAGTTCAGATGAAGGAGAGCAAGGTCTGACTCCTTGCTCCTACACACTTCCTGTGTAACCTTGAACAAGTTAATATCCTTTATGTTCCAATTTTTTAAAACTTAGCTAGAGAGCACAGCAAATTAAAAATAGTGATAATTTTGAAGTTGGCATAGTTCTTAAGCCCCTATTATTTATGGAAGTGATTAAGTTTATCAGCCCTTAGATTATTTAGGGAACTAGTGAATCCCTATGAAAAAGCCCATTTATCCTCTGAATAAAACTAATTTCTCACAGAGCTGAAGTCTAAACAGTACCAATAAGAGCACTTAGTTATTTAAATTTTCCCCCCTTAAAGCAAATATTAAAAAAATACTATCCATAACTGGCATTGTATTTTCAGATGTATGTTTTTTTTTTCCTGTCACTGTTGATAAATTTCAAGTAACTTATACCAAAAAGAGCATGTTCTGAGATGTCAGCCTTATAAACAATTTATTAGGCAACTATTTTTTGAAGAAGCAAATACAAAAGATGATTTTGAATATGACATTCATCAGCAGAATATAAAAAGAGAAACAGTAAACCCTGTGGCTACAGCAGAGATGTGTAATCCTGAGAACCAACAAATATTCTCGACTCTACCAGACAATTCCCATACAAACCTTCTGGCACAAAATGTCCCTACAATGAGGGTCAAATTTGAATGTCCCAGGGAACATGGATATGATGAGGGAGATGGAATTGTGATATTCAACTTGTTACTGTTTCAAAATGCATTTTAAGGCTCCTGAGACTGATCACAGTAGTGTAAATTGTTGATTGGTTCTATTTATCATTATTTACAAAACTAATATGTTACAATGGATTAACATACTATGGGGTAAATCTGCTTCAAAACTATTTGAAGGCTGCTTTAGTAACCCCTATAATTTGTTACTTATTACTGGTATCAGAAGAATTGATTAGTTATGTAGAAAAGTTCATTTTGTTCCAACTGCTCACCTATATGGTTATCCCTTATTTTTATATACACTCACAGCTGTATAATAGAATAGTTAAGTGATGCATGCAGTCAATATAATTTTATTTTTAAGGGAGGTACATGCTTACTCTTTTTTATTTCTAGGGTATAAAAACCAAAACAAACACAAAATAGCAATATAAAAGAAGTGTTTTCAAAACAACACAGAACTTAATTAAAATTACTTCTCAACCACACACTGATCGCCAGGATACAAACACAAAAAAAATAATGGTCTGTGATACACAGAACGTCAGAGCAGATGCTTTACTAAACTCAGATCATTATTCTATGAACAAAATGTTCAACCTCATACTACAATGGCCAATGCACTGTTATTATGAAGGCATTTTGTTTTCAGCTTCACATATGAATTAGAGAGACCACTATTTTACAGCAACTGTGCTCAGGCAAAGATAGGCAGACAGCAGCTGCCATCTCCCCAGAAGCTGTCTTAGTCCCCCTGAAGGAAAAATATTGTGTTTATTGCATATACTATGGACCTGTAGGCAAAGATTGTGAATTTATCCACCCAACCATAACATGCACTTGAGGCAAACACTCTGTATGTTTGCCTCAGCCAGCTCACTGGGTTAGGAGGTGTGAAAGTAAAAAGCCCCTTCCTCCTTAGGCTATAAAACTATTATATTACTGGGCTAGGATTTCAGCACATCCCCTCTGGCTGCAGGGAAGGAATTAGGGGAAGAACAGTGCAACAGATGATCTGACCCCCACATGTACATCTCTGAAGAGCTCCTTCCTTCTTTTTTTATCAGGCTCCCAAAAACACTTCTAAATCCTACCTGTAGGATTTACTTGTGACAGAAGACAAAGAGCATAAACTAACAAAATTCAAAGTTAAGTGGAATTCAGAATGCATCCTAAACTATAAACAAAGATCTCACTAACCTGTTTCATCTCTCATTTCCAGACCCTTGGCTTTCAGTCTTGAATAAATAAATTCTTCTTTTTCCTAAAACATGTTTTTCCACATTAGAATCTGATGTAGTAAGTCCTTGAAGTTAACCATTGTTTTTAATTACATAGCAATGTGGTGTTTAACACCCTCAGAAATAACTAGCAACAACTCATTATACTTGGAAGTGTCCACTAAACATTTTCCTGAATCCAGTGAGTTAGTCAAACCCATAACTTTGTTACTTAGATCCTGCTCCCTGCAAGCCTCAATTAATTAATGCAAGCATTCTACTCATACTTATAGAACTTACTTGTGGAGTAAAGCTACAGCCAAACTTCAGGATTGTTTGACAGGATCCGAACTTTCTAGGATCCAAAGTTTGTAAGACAAACTCTGGAGCTGTGCTGTACTGTGTAACTGAGATTTTGAGTACAGAGAAAAACATACCACCTAAAAAAATTAACATTACTTAGATGGCAGCACAATAATTGTTGGTGTGTAAGTTTTTCAAACTTAGAAAGCAGTTCTGTGGAATTAAAAAAAAATTTAAAAAATCAAGCTTCATTTTTGTCTGGGATCTTGGTAAGTTTTGGGAAGATAAAGATGTTCAAAGCTCATCACAAATGATGGTGAATTACTTAACTGTTAGTGTTCTTCCAAAAAAACCCAACACCATTGGTTAGGAGATGCTGAAATCAGGAAAGAAGACAGACCATGACTGAAAAGTCCTCACTCTAGCATTGTTGGGGTGAAACGGCACATGTCCCTCTTTTGCCTGTGGTAATTACACCTAATTTCTCTCACTTAGGACAGAAAAAGACAAGCTATGGAATCATTTTCAATGGCTGCTCTAGTCACAGACGGGTCTTGCACACTGGGCGGCTACAACTTAATACTTTCAGTACAAGACAGGATAAACGGCAAATATCCCGTAACGCTAAACAGCAATAAAACGTGGGATTTTTTTAAAAGAAATGACTGACAAAAAATGTAATTTCTGCAAAGACATTGTGTTTTCAAAGAAACCATATCAGTTACCAGTCCCCAAGGGCGGGCAGAGCCTCAGGGAGCCCACAGTTCCCGGTTTCGGGTGCGCGGGTGGCGCTGGGCGGCAGCGGGAGCTGTGTCGGGCTCACCTGTCGGAAGGCGCAGTTGTGCCGTGCCCAGAACCGCTGGTTGCAGGCCTGGGCCTCCTGCCGGGCCTCGCGCAGCCGCCGCTCCAGGGGCGACTCCTGGGGGGGCACGTAGAAGATGATGGGGCGCAGGTTGGAATGCTTGTCCGGGGGCCCGATCCAGTCGTTGTGGGAGTGCACGGGGGGGCTGAAACCCGGGCCCTGGGAAGTACAGATGGAATTCTGTTACGAGCACTTCGGCAGAGTTGCTGAAGAACATCTCGATTTGAAACAAATCCCAAAACTCCACACAACCTTAAAACATACAAGCATAATACGTTCCGAAATTATGAATGTTCGTTTACTGTAACCAAAAACAATGAGATACATTTACAATTTACTTAAAAATGTACTACAGAGAAGATACCTTTGACTCTGCTACCACAGACATGAATCACAACATGTTTTTTTAAAAGCACCCTTTTTTTGGTTTTCATTTTTTGTCACTTAGCACTTCGTTAAAATACGTGATGGCAAGAACTAGCACGTATGCAAGCTTTTTATGGCACTGATCTCTGCTGTCTGGTGACCAGTGACAGCATCTGAGGGAACAGCATGAAGCTGTGTCAGGGGAGGTTTAGGCTGGATGCTACGAAAAAGGCTCTTCCCCCAGAGGGTAGCTGGGCACGGGAACAGACTCCCCAGGCAAGTGGTTGCAGCCCCAAGGCTGACAGAGCTCAAGGAGCTTTTGAACAACTCTCTCAGGCAGATGGCGTGATTCCTGGAGCTGTCCTGTGCAGGGCCGGACCTAGATGATCCTTACGGGTTCGTTCCAACTAGGGTTGTTCTATGATTCTAAGTTTACCAAAGCCCAGCGTTGTTCCTGTATCCATGTGATCACACCTGCCCCGGCCGGCTTCGGGCAGACCTGTTACCCAACAGCCCCGTCACTCACGGCCCCGCCGGGCGACAACAAACCCCTGAGGCCTCGGCAAACACACCCAAGGCGAGAGGCCGCGGGGAACGCGGGGTTCTGCGGGGGACGCGGGGTTCTGCGGGGAACGCGGGGTTCTGCGGGGAACGCGGGGTTCTGCGGGGAACGCGGGGTTCTGCGGGGGACGCGGGGTTCTGTAATGTGGGTTCCGAGGGGGAACGCGGGGTTCTGAGGGGAACGCGGGGTTCTGCGGGGGACGCGGGGTTCTGCGGGGGACGCGGGGTTCTGAGGGGAACGCGGGGTTCTGAGGGGAACGCGGGGTTCTGCGGGGAACGCGGGGTTCTGAGGGGAACGCGGGGTTCTGAGGGGACGCCCCCGCCCCACCAGCGCCCCCAGCCCGGGGCTCCCCGGGGGCCCTCGAGCCTTCCCCGCGGCCCCCGCAGGAGCTGCCGCCCACCCCCGCCCGGGTTTACCGCGCTGTCCGGCCGCTCCCCGCGTTCAGCCGCGCGGCGACGCCGGCGGAGCAGGAGGAGGAGGAGGAGGCGATGAGGAGGCGGCGGTGGCGGCGGCAGGAGCCTCCCGCCCGCAGCAGCGGCGCGGCCGCCATGCCCCGGCGCTTTACGGCGCTGCCGCACGGGCGCTGCGGGCGGGGCCGGGCCGGGCCGGGGCCGCCCCCGCTCCGCCTCCCTCCGCGCGGCCGGGCGGGGCGGGGCTCGGGCGGTTCGCGGCGCTCGGCCCGTGGCGCAGCGCCGGGCCGGGCAGCGGGTTCCGGGCCGGGCGGCCGAAGGGTGAGTGGAGGCGGCGGGGCGGGGGCGCCGGGGACGAGCCCCCCGCAGGTGCCTCCGCGGAGGGCCGTTGTCCTTTGCCCACCCCGCCGGGCCGCGCCGCGGGGCAGGCGGGAGGCGGCGGCCGTGGAGGGGCCGCGGGCGGCGGGTGCGGAGGGGGAGCGAGGTGAGTGCGGGGGAGGCGGCGCTGCCCCGGGGCTGTGGCACAACCGCTGCTTTCCGCTCGGCCGCTGTTCGCCCCTTCCCCTCCGGGTTCTGCCCTGGGCTGCGGGTGCCCTGTTTGTTCTGCGGTGGGTTCAGCTGCAGAGCAGGTGCGATGGGGAGGGCTGAAGGCTGTGGGTGAGCGCCGAGAGCCGGTGGTGTGGCAACTCGAGCATCACCCGTGCGGCCCGACTGAGAGAAAGGTGTAAAAAAAAATTAGAGGAAGGGCGGTGAAATATCTGCCAAGTGGTTTATGCCTATTGCTAGAGATATTTAAAAATAGCTTTAGTGCTGAAGTGCTTCAGGATGTGAAAGTTGCGATGTGTGCTTGCACAGCACTTAAGTAAGTCTTGTTCTCCTTTTTCTTGCAGTTCATCTGAAACTGGACGAGAGAAGAGGAATGGATATGGGTAACCAACACCCATCCATAAAACGGTTGCATGAAATACAGAAGGAAGTCAAAGAGATTGAACAGCAAGTGGCTGTCTTCAGTGGTCTGTCTACCGACCGAGATTACAAGAAATTGGAAAGGAGCCTTACTAAACAGCTCTTTGAAATAGATTCTGTAGACACGGAAGGGAAGGGTGATATCCAGCAAGCCAGAAAGCGAGCTGCCCAGGAAACAGAGAGGCTGCTGAAGGAACTGGAACAAAATGCAAACCATCCGCGCAGACTGGAAATAGAGTCCATATTCAAGGAGGCACAGGCACTTGTGGAACGCGAGATCACGCCTTTTTACAAAGGAGGAAACTGTATTAGTGACGAATTTGAAGAAGGAATCCAGGACATTGTGTTGAGGCTTACCCAGGTGAAAACTGGAGGGAAAGTTTCGTTACGCAAAGCGAGGTACCGCACTCTGACAAAAGTGTGTGCTGTTCAGGAGATCATAGAAAATGTTGTGAAGCAACAGCTGTCCCTGCCACTCTCTAATGATGCACATCCTTCTGTTGCCAAAATTAACTCTGTGATGTGTGATGTGAACAAAGCGAGAGGAACTCTTATTGCTCTTCTGATGGGAGTGAGCAGGAATGACACCTGCAGGCACCTGTCCTGTGTGCTTACAGGCCTCATTGCTGATTTGGATGCTTTGGATGTCTGCGGTCGCACAGAAATCAGAAATTACAGAAAGGAAGTAGTAGAAGAGATCAATAAATTGCAGAAATACCTGGACCTGGAAGAGGAAGCAAATTCTACTCACGCTTATGATCTGGCACAAAATCAGTCCATTCTGAAAATAGAAGAGATCCGCAAGAAGATGAAGGAAGTTAATTCTTTACTTTTAAAAACAGAGAATGCTTCTGATCTGTATTTGGGATCCAAAGCAGAATTGCAGGGATTGATTGCCCACCTAGATGAGGTGAGTGCTGGAAAAAATCCCTGTATTAGAGAAGCCAGGAGAAGAGCAGTAATTGAAGTTCAAACTCTTATAACATATATTGATTTGAAGGAAGCACTGGAGAAAAGGCAAATGTATCCAGAACAAACTGCTGCTGAACATCAGTCCCATAAAGCAGTTTGGACTGTTCTTGGAAACTTGTCTCAAATTCAGCAAGAGGTGATTTCATTTGATGGAAACAGAACAGATAAAAACTACATGAGATTGGAGGAACTCCTTACAAAACAACTCCTAGCCCTGGATGCTGTTGATCCGCAAGGTGACGAGCGGTGTAAGGCTGCCAGGAAGCAGGCAGTAAAGCTTGCACAGAATATTCTTTACTACCTGGACATGAAAACAGATGAATGGGAATACTGAAACAGCCATGGCCTGACACAGAAGAACATTTTCTCCTCTGGCACTTTATGCAGATCATTGGCAGCACATAATAAAGTGGTGTGTTCTGTGCTTGCTGAAATCACGGAGATTGCATAAGCAGTTGACTTGGCTATATGTCTGCTATCCCACGCAGTCACCCACTTGCCATGGCAACTGTCAGTACACCATCAGCAATTCTGGTCACTGCTATAAGCAAAGAAGTGCGATTCTCTGAAGTAATAGCTTAATACTTGAACAAATGGCTTTTTTTTTTTTTCCTCTTTTTTTTTCTCCTGTTTTTGTTTCAATAGCCTTGTGCAATGTTCAGTGAATGCAGATTTTTCAAAGCCACAGAAACTTCCTCATGGTATAATGCTGGCAAAATTATTTAAAGGGACTGGACATGAAAATTAGTATTCAAGCATGAGGCTCCATCCAGCAACTTCACAGCAGTCTGGATATACTCTTAATGTGCTGTTACGACAGAAAGTATTAAGGGCAGAAGCCCTGCTGGCTTCTGGATTGTACTTGATTTATTCCATCCATCACACCATCTAGATTTCTCAGTTAATGGAGCTGTAATGCCAACTGCAAATGAGCATTTACATAGGCAAAGCCAATTATGTCAATTTTTTATAATACCTGAGCCCTTTGATTTGCAAAAACAGGTCTTTTGTTGTTGGAAACTCTTTCAAGTCGTTGCTTTAAGGTACTGAGACTTGGAGAGGAAAATCTGTGCATTTATACCAAACAGATAAAGGGGATTTCGAGGATTTCAAACTGCCATCCATAAACCCTTGAAAACTGCACTGAACTTTATTTAGTGGCTGCTTAGGTGTCTTTTAAAATTCTGCTGTTGCATCTGGTTTTCACATTTGGTGAAGACAAACAATTCACTTTGAAGTGAAACGAGCATTTTGGAATTATTTTTGTAAAATTAGGTAGCTAGCTATAAAGATGTCCTAATGATGTAAATGTGTGATACATGGTCAGGTGTGGCTTCAAGAATGTCTTGGAAAAGACTTGTGGCAAGTGTCTCTCCTTGCAACTCATCATTTAATTGCTTTAGTATGTTCATAAATAAGCTTGCTAGTACTGTTGTATGCATCTACCTTTTTGTTTGTGGCTGCTAGTGCCAATCACATTTCTGCTATGGCATGTTTTTTGGCATTTTTTGAAAGCATGGCATTAAAATGAATTAATTACAAAGATATATTCAATTATGGATAATTTGCACTCAGCTCTTTCTTGATGAACTAAGGAATTATTGTTCTATAGATGATGATTTGCACCACTTTAAGGAGTAAAAACCATTTCAGATGTTAAAATAAATATTTTTAAGGTCTATTTTTGATTGATTAGAGAAGACAGTACTGTCTGTGAGAGACAAGTGCCTTTATGACACTGCTAACTTGCACCGTCATATGTAGATATAGGAACTGTTTACTGGCAGCTTGTTACAATTTGTAATCTTTGCAAACTGGATTTTTCACACATATATCTAATTCTACTATAGGATATGTCAAGTTAATGTAATACAATAGGTGACAGTTGTTCTATGGAGTCCCAAGAATGAGTATCAAATTTGGGGAATATAGAATCTCCTTAAAAATTAAAGCACTGATGTGGAGGTGGGGGACTTTGGGCAGGTCTTCTGTGCCTATTGCTACAAGAAGAATATGTTCTGTAATATACTGTGAGATGTTGATTGAAGGCTGCATAACTTCAGAGTGTGAATAGATTTTGTTGGTGATTGTTCAGGTGTTTGCTTTGCAAATCTACCTGCCAAAACTGATCTAATTGAGTACAGTGCCTAAGGCACAATTTGGCAATGACAGAATGTTTGTTGGAGGATTCTCCCTGCTCCTTCAGAGCCACAACCCCGTTGAATTTATGTTTCTTTCATCAAAAAGAAATTTCCCCTGGTTAAAATTCCAATCTATATTTGAGTACTGTGTGGCTAACACAGAATATTAATAGTGTTATACACCTGTATTATTTTACTCATTTCAAGCTTTCTACACTAGCAGTTTGAACTGCAACTTCAGATTTGCCCTTACAGTTTTAGGAAAGATAAGATTTTGATAGCATAATGATATTATTCATTTTTCTTTAATATTACTGTCAGGTCTGCAGTAATTACTTGTAGTTTGTTTAAACAATTTGGTGTCTGTGTTCTCTGGAGGTTACACGTAGTTTCATAAATGTTTGAACCTCTTATGTACAGATGAATAAGTATAGTTATCAGATCTGTTCTATTTTAAATTTGTCTTTTAGCTTTTCTGAATGAATTATTACGTCTGCATCTCTAAGAAGGCAAATGTGAAAGGTTAGTGTAATTTTGACTGAGTAGAGTTCAGTAGCAAGGTATTATGTGGATTAAGCTTTTTTTCTATTGTTCTGTAATCTAATAAATTGACTATTTAAATTTTATGGTAGAATCCTTATCTGGAATGGGATTAATTCACAGTTTTTGCATGAATGAAAGTAATAAAATAGATGTGCTTAAAAAAAAAAAAGGAAAAAGAAATGCACAGGTTCTTCAAAAATTTGCTTCTATGCTGAAGAATGTAATTTCTCTGCTTTTTTATATCCAAAGATCGAGAGAAACACAACTTTTCTTTTTGATACAGCAGGCTGAAATAATCAGCAAAATGTAAAAGGACCAAATGGCAAAAGCCTGCATTTTAGTACTATACTGAAATTGAATAACTTTTCTGTGTGCTGTGTTATTTACCTTAGAGGAAAATAATCAATTGGATATTTGGGGGAGAGATAATCCTGCATTGTGATTCCTACTTGTTAATTGAATTTCTTTTTAAAATAATTTTCTTTAGTTATTTCAGTGTTTATTTTTGTTGTTTGCCA